CCCCCGGGGGCCCGGGGCGAGAAGCGGGTCGCGGGAGCCTGCCGCCGCGCACCCAAGATCTGGAGCAGTAACAGACACATCATGCGCATAAATAAACCCATGAGAAGATGCAGTGCCTGCCCTCACCGTGAGCGTGCTGGAAGCAGAAGCAGTTCCAAGAGAGAGGCAGGTACAGGCTTTAGGGGAGGTTGAGGAAGGGTGGGAGACTTTTTCCCTAGGGGTTCTGTGAAGGGCTGGGAGCCTTGTAGAATCTGAGATGGCGGAGAGAGAAGTCTTTTGAAGGCAGAGTTTCCTGATCATACGCTGTGTTTGTATCCAAGAGCCACCACTTACCACCTCAGTGACTTGAGCACATGCCCCCTGCCTTCTGGGACTCAGCTCCCTCCTCTGAGAAATCGGGTGGGGGCAGGAGTCCAACCTTCTGGCTGGATGTAGTGAGGACAAAGTGGGGTGTTGTAAAGCTCCAGTGCCTCCCACAGGAAGTGCTTAGAAAATGCGGGTGGGTGTCAGGCTCCAGGCCTCCTGGAGACTCCCCTTCAGATGGGCCTCCAGGCTGGCACACAGCAGCATCAAGGTCTTCACTTGCACCTGCACTCAGGGCAGGCCTTTCTGCAGGCGCTGAGCTAACTTGGGGCATGTGGTTCTCTGGTGAGTGAACCAAACCAAACTAGGGCTGTCTAGGGGAGTACGTGAATACCATGGCCCTGGCACAGCCGCCCACAAATAGAAATGGTCTCAGTGGAGCTTTGAGAAAAGCTGGATAGCTCTTGTAAGATATATATCGTCATTTTTGTTGCTAATTATAATAATGACAATAATTCCTGGGCTTCTGCCCTGAGATCATAGTCTGTCTGTAGGCAACTCTCATCACCCACCAAGGACTGGCCTAGCACCAGAATAATACTTTCCGGGAAAGTGGGTCAGGGGGGCGCCCCCGCCCTCCTCCGCCCGGAGCTGGGGCCTCCGCTTCACTTTCTTCCCCCCTTTCTCCGCCCCCTTTCGGAAATTCTCTTTGGGCAGCCAGCACATCAATAAACATGGAAACACACTTCCCCTCCCGGGAGGGTCCTTCGGGACGCCCCTGCCCTGGGGCTCAGGGGTGCAGTTCTGTCTCGGGGCTTTGCTGCCTCTCCCCCCAAGTTGTTTGAGCCTCTACCCCCGCCCCCCGGGCTGAGGGGCCTCAGGTGGAGCTGGGAGCCCGCGTCTGAGGATGCTTTTTGGATTGGGCTCCTTGGGTTTTGTTTGGAACTCAAAAGATTGTTGTTTCTTCTCCTTCACAACTTACACTTTTCAGGCAAATCATTAATGGGATATGTATAACTCCTGGGCGGGGTGGGGGCTGGGGGAGTGGCCCTGGCTAGTTTTGTTGTTCATTTGACCCTCTCAAACTCACATTAATGGGTTTTTCTCCTTCATTTCTTCTTCTTTTTTTTGGAAGTAAGGTCAGTCAGTGCTGAAAGAGATGGCTTTTTAAGTTGTGGATTTTCAGAACGTTTTGTAATCTCTTTATCACACTGGAATTTTTTTTGTTTTGAAGTAAGTCTTGTTTACAAGCTTCAGCCCCTGCACCATCTTGGTAACTTTTTCCATTTGAAATTCCGATGCCCTCTCACTCCAGGCTGATAGAAAAGGTTGGCTGCTGATGGGTGACTGTGACTGGTTGGTGTACAGACACATTTTACTTTTTTTCTGTTTACCTCAGGCATTGGATGAAGTAATTGATCACTAAAGAACTACCGTGCTGGTGAGATGTGTAAGGTGAGCCGGCAGTTAAAAAGGATCGACCTTTTTTTCCCTTCTTTATTTTAATCAACTCGTGAGGGTAAGGCCGGGACTAAGTAATTTGATGGGGTCCACCTTTATTTCCCAAATAATTCATTCTGTCAGGTTGGGCGTACAGGCAAGGCTAGATTTTAGAAAGAAAAACAAAAACAAACGTACCAAACTTTCTCCGTGGCTCCAACATCTACTGCCCTCGTGGGGCTTACCCAGAGCCGCATACTGTTAGCAGCGATCTTTGATCAGGATCCTCACCAGGGGCGCTTATAGTTTGCCTATTTAAATTTCCTTGTGTAATTTTAGTTGGATGTCTTAATTTTACCCATGGTTTGGTGTCCGTGTGTAAGTCCACTTACGCTCCACGGACGGTCAGTGATTGTGCCTGTGGATCTTGTGTGCCCACAGACGGTGGGACTCCTGTGACGGACGTACACCGTTTCCATTGCAAAGCATCATGTCAGGCAGATCAGTCGCTCCTGCTTTTATTTTCTGGAAAATGGAATCGTACTTGTCTCTCTCATAGTTATTTTGAAATAAAAAGGATAGCGTCGAGTTTTGTTTCGCTTACTAAGGATAAGTCTGGTTTGTCATTATTTTCTGGTCACACTTGGTGTGTGAATTCAAGGCGTTGCTTTATTTAATGTAACTTCTAATGCTTTGGATTTCAAGGACATTGATAACGTGTTAGTAAACAGTTGGCGTTTAGCACACGAGGAAAAGGAGAAAAGTTTGCTAATTTTACATTTTCCACAAGCAATCTTCTGAACTTCACACATATTTTACTATGATTTATTGAGAAAATTAAGTTATGGTAGGTTGGTTACCGCAGGTTTTTTTTTTTAACACATCTGGGTAGCATTTGGGTTTTGAAATTCATATCTATCACAACATCTGTTTAAGAAGAGTAAGCTGTGCTTTATTTTTTTTGCAGATTGAAGCATACAGTTGACATTTTACCTTAAAAAAAAAAAAAAACTCAGGAGAGAAAAGTGGACATAAACCAAGATACTTTTGTGAGTGCACGCATCACATTTGCTTGCGTTTGAAACTTAGCAGTGCTTGTGTGTATTACATTTATTTTTATTCTTTGAAGAGCAAATGTGGATTTTAAAATTTATTTTCAGCTTATAGATGGAGGCATATTCTTGCCATAGGCTTCCTGATCTGAAACTTTTATCTTTTTTTAAAAAAATTTACAGATTGCTTTGTGGAAAGGAACCAGTGACCTGTTTTTTGGCCTCTGGTGATGTTCATTTGTAGTCTAAAATTTAATATTTAGAAATAAGTAATCTTGTGTGGCTCATGTTGTTTGGCCTGTATTGTGTCAAGACGTTTTCCACAGTTTTCACACATGTGGACCCTGTGAAGTGCTAGTATTCACTTCAAAGTGAAGTTAGTGGCCGGCCACCAAACAAGTTGTTACACAAATTCTTCTAAAATGGGAAATACCATAGTATTGAAGGTTGTGGTGAAGTAGAAGTCTGTGTCTTTGAGCTCAATAAAGACAGCTTTTTTAGTCTGTCCTTTTGGCTGGGAAGCTAGGACACTATTTTTAGGTAAGGCTGGAGTTTTTGGGAGCCAGTAAGTAAGTCCCTCTCTATCAGCTGGTAAACTTTTGCAATTGTTAGCAAGAAGCTTCACTTTCTGACACCATAAATATTTAATCTGCATTGTTTTAAAGTCCATATACATTTATGGAGTGTCCAGTGTTTTACCAGAGAGAGAGAGAGGACTGGTGCCAAACAACAGGAGAAACCATTCCTACTTGCAAAGGGCCTTGTGCAGTTTAAAAATATACAGCATGTTCATGAAGGGCTAAGAATATATTGCAGAGGGTCTACAGATAAGTAGACCAGATCTTATACAGGCATTTTTGTTTTCTCTTTAAGAAGTAGGCTTGGTATTGGTATTAAACACAAATTAGTCTATAATTGTCCATCAGACTATATTTAAGAGCCAAATATAGGCCCAGCATAAGACATAAGGTCCTTTGGCTGTTTCAAATGCATAGAAGATTTTAGGGCCAAGTTTATCAACTCACATGGGAGGGGGAGGGGCTACTTAAAAATTATAAGCAAGTTCTGGTTGTTTATTTTTGTAAACTTAGATAAGTGTACATGCCAATATAATTTGATTTCTAAGTAATATTTTGAAATGTCTTCTAGGAGAGAACTATGATATGTGTGGAGAGTGGCCACACCAGCCTACAATTCATTTAAATTCATGGGTGTAGTCAGGATTATTTCTGTAGCATTGGCTAGAAGCAGCATAAAACACAGTGGTCTGTCACTTCAGTGGTGGCTGAGTAATAACTTTTGAGTAATCCTGAATTTAATAGAGTTAATAATTCTTTAAAAATAATATTGTAGATGTAGCATGGAGACTTTTAATTTACATATAATTTTTAATAATTATCGAACACCTACTCAGAGCATGGTGCTTTCGCCAACTAGCTAAATAACCGTGGGAAAATGTTTTGTTTTCTTTATCGT